AGACCACAGTACGCGGATAGCACCTCGCTTCTACTCACCTATGGATCCGCCAGCCCGCGGTTTCGCAGAAGGAGAGAGCCCGTCCAAGAACGTAAGTCACCTTAACCTTCACCTTCACTAATAGTGGGGCACCTGCCTCACTTACCTGCCCCGCCTTCTACACATACTAACATCACTTCCAGTCTGACTCAAACCGTCTTCTTTACTCTGTTCCGGACAAGTCGGCAGCCAGTCTCCACCAAGTCTCCAAAGGCACAATCAACATGATGTATCAGGGCAGCGCGAACGACATCGACCCAGACTCTTCGACTGGCCGCGAGCTGGTGCAGGACCAAACCCGGGCCAAGACAAGCAGTGGCCGTTCCGATACTGAGATCACGAGCCGTGTCATGCAAGAGCTGCGTATCGGCGAGAGGCACATGTCGGCGCCACAGATGAGCCCTCAGACTGGCCATATTCAACCCGATCAGTCATCTTCAAGACTCACTGACATGCTCAACACGGTCAGCCCTGGTCACAGCGATTCTCGGAGCGAGTTCCAGCCGTACTATGCCAGTGCTGTGCCTAGTCCACTTCACAACGCCGTTCAGATGGTCACGGCACGGTCGAACACGTCTCATGGTTCTCATGGCTCTTTCCCTGTACCCCCACAGCGCATCATTCCCAAGACCATCGAAGACCACTTCTTCATGACCAACGAGCACTTGGACGTCGTGGGCAAGACAACATGGGACCTCCTCGAGGGCATACACAAGCAGCAGAAGGGAAAGGCCAAGACCAAGCAGGAGCAGCTTCTGGTTCACATCGACAAGCGCACTGCGCAGATCAAGGCCCACATGGACGCCCAGGTCAGCAAGTCCAACGAAGACGCGGCTGGTACCATCAGCGACTGTGCCAAGCGCATCGAAGAGCTGTCTGATCGTGTCGTGGACATGGCCGACAACCAGCACAAGGCCTACGCCGAGTTGAGCAGCGCCTCGGAGTCAATCAACGAGACCATTTCCAAGGCACTTGCTGAGCAGGACAAGAAGATAGCGAGCATGCACGCCGAGATGAAGGACATGAAGCAGATGTTGCAGAAGATACTGGACAAGCAAGCAGCCGATCATGGTCACACTCCGAATAGGCCTCCCTCACACGGTGTCAACTACCATGGTGTTGACACTGGCAACATGCACGAGAACCGCGGTATGTCGTCTCCCCCGGACAGCCAGGTCGATCCTCGCGTCAGTTATCAGTGGCCTGGACGTGCTGCATTTTCTGGCCGCAAGGAAGACCGCCCGTACCCTACCAACCCTTATCAGACCAGCAGTGGAGGTCACTACAACAACCCGTACGCTGGTGGTTACTCGTCATATACCTTCAATCCCAGTCCTCCTGACCAGAACTTTCCGTTTCCAGGTCAAGGTCAGGCAAAGTGAAGCTGCATGTTTCGCACGAAGTCATTCCGGCGAGTGAGTGACTCGATTGACAGTATCTCGCTAGGGGAATGAAGGATTGTGTAAGATATAGCGGATACCCTCAACTGTACTTTTTTTCACGGATGGACTGGCAGGACAGCTCCCATATTAAACTCTGTCGACATCTGCGGATGGGCCGGGTATATACGACGAATGAACAATATCTTAGATGTTTTGTGTTTTGAAGTGCTTTATGATGCAAGTGTGTTGAACTAACGTGAGCTAGGCATGATACAACCATTGAGAGACGTCACTTGATTGTCACACATACTACAGAATCCACAGACGAACAACGAAGGATGCATATAGGCTTAGTGGTGGTGTCTGGCTCACTCGTCTGATAGGATGGCGTTGGTGATGCTGAAGAGGTCTCTTCTGAATAGAAGAAGACGCAACCCCGGCAGGATATCACCTGCTATTAATGCCTAATCAGCCTTCCCAATTAGATGCGCAGGGCTGGTGGGCGGTGGCTGGTCTCGTTGAGCTTGGCTACGCAGGTGCTGCAATAGACGCGCTAAGGACAGCGGAAAGGCCGACGTCCATGTTTAGCATCGCCCGCAGACGGCAGACCGACGACTACTGGACAAGCCACACGCCGCCGCAGCGATACAACACCATGGAGGGCCCAGAGTCAGACTCATACTCTACGACTCCTGCGTCCTCCAGCCGCCCAGCCGAAAGGGCCGCTGCTGACAGCGACGATCGGACCCCAACGACGCTTGCACAGGCTACTACAGCCCTCCCGCCTGCGCCTCCCAATGCCGCAACAACCCTCGCGAACTCGAGCCTTTCGTTTGGAGCCGGCATCACGGATCCCTCGCTGCCCAGATACCACGTCCGCGCCCCGTCGACGGCTCTGAAGCTCGACACGGACCTCGCCATCTCATCCACCGCGCACCCCTCGCGCGACTCGCTCAATCCCGCAAACCTGGAGGCCAACGGGGGCGACGCGCTGCGCCAGTCGGCCACGGCGCCGATTCCCATCCAAGAGGGCTATCTGCGGACCGCCTGGTCGACGACCAGTCTGGGTTCGTTGTCGCCCGGCTCAGCTTTGTCCTCGCCCGCCCTCAACGCGCTGGGAGACATAACCCCGCTTCCCTCACCACTGGTGATGGGCGACTCGCCGGGGCCATGGGCCAGAGCAGAACATCGTCCTCGCTCACGGGGTCTATCGGGTGCTTCTCGCGACGAAGCCTTTCCCATCTTCTCCAAGGGCACCTTGTCGCCCTCACCCTCGCTCAGAAAGAAGGGATACTCGGGTTTAAAGGCGGCCGCCATCGAGGCAGCAGCAGCCAACTCGCAGCAGAAAAATGAAGCCGCCCGTGAACGCAACAGGAGCATCAGCGAGTACACGCCAGATGCCATGCACAATGCCCGTCCTCGCAACGTCACCATTGGCAACACGGCCGTGGAGACTGACCCCAACCCCCAGCAGCGCATGAACCGCGAGACATATCTTGCGACACAGCGAGGGTTAGTGGGCGCAAAAGGACCAGCCAGGCTCCCCACCCCACCCGCTAGTAACGCAAGCAACCGCAGTGTTACCGATACTGAGGAGGAAGACGTAGCTGACGAGGATAAGATTCAGTATATAGTGGTCCGGAGCGGGCCTCACAAGACCAAGAAGCTCTGGCGCCCGGTGCGCCAACTCGGCCAGGGCACATTTAGCAAGGTATATCTTGCCACATGCGAAGGTACCAAGGCCAAAGACCCTCTGGATGAGAAGACATTGGATCCCCACAAGCTGGCAGCTATCAAAGTGGTCGAGCACGGCCCGGCTGGGGGAGCCGACGAAGAACGGGTAGAACTCAGCCTCAAGCGAGAAGTCGAAATGCTCCGCTCCGTCCACCATCCGTCTCTTGTGCATCTCCAAGCCTTCGATCACGATGACGCCCAAGCTCTCATTGTCCTCACGTACTGTCCCGGTGGTGATCTATTTGATGTAGCCAGTGACCATCGCGACAAGCTGACCGTCGGCATCGTCCATCGCATCTTCGCCGAAATGGTCAGCGCGGTCCGTTATCTGCATGACAAACTCATTGTCCACCGCGACATCAAGCTAGAAAGTACTGCTTCCACCCTTTGCCGTTTGATCGACGTGGTACGTCCTAATAGTGCAACGTCTTGTTACTAATTCTTTCCTCACAGACGTCCTCCTCAACATCCCAGTGTCCACTGTGCCTCTCCTCAATCACCCTCAGAGCCACCCTCATGCCCTAGCCACGCTAACTGATCTTGGCCTCTCCCGCCGCATCCCCGCGCCCCCAGAGTCTCCGCTCCTAACCACGCGCTGTGGCAGTGAAGACTACGCCGCACCTGAAATCCTCCTCGGTCAGCCCTACGACGGCCGTGCCACTGACGCTTGGGCCCTAGGCGTTCTGTTATATGCTCTCATGGAAGGAAGACTTCCGTTTGACCCGCTCCCCGGTAAAGCAGCGTCTCGGAGTAGAGCCGCGCATCGCATCGCTCGCTGTGATTGGTCGTGGGTTAAATTCGGGAATGAAGATGGCGAGTGGGATCCGGAGAAGGGGAGTGAGTGGGGTGGAGCGAGGGAATGTGTAGAGGGGTTGTTGAAGAAGGTGTCGCGTGGGCGGAAGAGTCTGGAGGAAATCGGGCAGATGGAGTGGGTGAAGCAGGGGATTCAGGTCGAGGGCGGGTTGAGGATGAGGCCTGAGGATGAGGTGGGAGAGGAGAGGTGATTGCTAGTAAGGAGCTGAGATTCTTCTTTTGTTCGAGTGCTTTGTGGCATGGAACTCGCGAGGACTGCTCCCTCTCTTTTCTTGACTGGCATCATCGTTTCCTTCCCTCTCTCTCTCTCTCTCTTTCGTATGACTCTCACACTTCTCTTGGTTGGCTCACTCGCGTCTTTCATCGATATCCCTATCCCCATCTCCCCTCTTTCCTCTCTCTAGACCTCTTTCCTTTTGCCAAACATGTTGGCTTCATGACCTCTTTCTTTCTCAACTGCATGGCGCCTGCGAGTGCGAGTCTCCCTTTTCATGTCACAAGGGGGTTATTAGATTAAATCAAAAATTAGCTAGGCGGTTAGCATTGCTTTGCTGGCCTTTTGAATAGGTAGGATAGATAAAAAAAATCGAGGAAATCAGTGGTAAATCTTGACGTCGATGTGGATGTAGATGAACGTGATGAGTTTATGTAAAGGACGCGTGGAGGGTGTAATAACATGTGGTGTTTGAGTGATGGATGTACATGTGAAGGGTATGGTGTACGAGTGTGTTGAGTGGTGGATATACGATATAAAGACTACGTGATAGATACGTTTGTGTTACAATGTACTAGAGTCACGAGCCAAGCATATATACATACACTACAGTAAGATCCTCATGTGGAAACCTTTAGTAAATGCACACAAATACAATGACAATACTCCGTGACAGTAATGAGATATGCGGTTCTCTTAGAGCGCTTTTCACGGCAATTAATACGGGGGATAAAGGAATGGGTGAGTGAGTGATACTAACCGGATGTAACAGCATGTGGAGCAACATAGTGTCTAGACGAAGGTTTTAGCAGAACGAAGAGTTTAAAAGGAGAGGGTTGGTTTTTTTATAGATATAGATATGAGTGCAATCTAGGATACTATGAATTTTATACTATTTACTAATAAACACCTATCAATGCACGATCCTTTCCATATCCCATATACATGGTCAATCCCCATCTCACACCCTACCCACCATTCTCATCGCCATCACATCCCTATTACCACCCTACACACCTAACCAGTATGGATCCTAACCCTCTGCTTAACCCCCTTCCTACACATCGGACACCTGACCCTCCCCACAGGCACACTCCCATGCCTAACCGGCACCACAACATCCGCACACCAAACACACATGACCATATGGCCACACGGCAAGACCGCAATATCAGCAATCTGCTGATAACACACCTGACAGGCCAGCACCTTTGTCATTTCCTCCTCCGTCCTTGGGGCAGGCCGGTCGGGCTGGGAGTCTAGTGTTACAGGGGGTGGGGAGGGGGGACGGACGCCACCGCGGGAGGAGCGTAGGCGGGCGAGTTCTTGTTCTATGGAGACGCGGAGGGAGGGGAAGTCTGTAGGGAAGGTTGCGGGGGGTAGGGAGGGGTCTTGGGAGGAGGTTGTTAGGAGGGAGAGCATGTTGCTGAGACGGGTTTCGGTGGAGGCGCGCATTTGAGCTTGGGTGCTGGTTCGGGAGTATGGGGGTAGTGGGGGGGGGCGGTGGGTTGTTGTTGTTGATTCCAAGAAATAGGGTTGGAAGACGTCTGTTGCTGCTGCTGTTTCTGCTGTTGCTCCGCCGTTGGTATTGTTGGAGGGGTCTAGGTTTAGCCAGCGCGGATCCGGCATGTGGATGTCGATGGGGTCACTGCTGCCTTCGGAGCGGTGGGGTCGAGGGGTGTAGCTCCATACTGCACTCTCTGGCTCTAGGCTTTCTGATAGTGATTGTGATTCTCGCATTACGCCCCAGACGAGTTGTTCTTCGATTTCTCGGCGATCTCGCGCTGGTAGGCCATCGAGGGGAGGCGCCTCGTCTGTACCGTCTGCGCGCCGTTGTTCAGCCTGGCGATAACGATCTTGAGCACGTGTGTACATTTGGGTTAGTGGTGATTCGTAGTCTTCTTGGTCTTGTTCCTCGCGAGTGCCAAAGACGCGGGCGAATCTCTCCCTCATACGTTGTAATTGTGCTTCTCTTCTTGTCATTGGTCGCGGCGGCTCCGATGGGTCTTCTTGGATGTGTGGGGTTACTGCAACTGGTGGTGCTGCCGGATCCGCCGTCGGTGGACTCTGAATCGGAACCTCATCCTCATCTTGAATCAATGCGTCCAGCGCGTCTTCAAGACTCTCATGAGGCTCCTCCGGCCGCTCTTCTTCCGACGTCAGCCGTCTCCTCCTAAGCCTATTCTCCGGCCTCATCGCATCATTCTGCACCCCAGCCCTAAGTTGATCCAGCGTCCTCGGTAAAAATCCCGGGCTAACTTCTACAAGCGGCTCCCCTATCACGGGCATATGCTGCTCAGTGCCATCCGGCAATTTCGCGATGCGATAACCCTGATGAAACTCCCACCATCTATCCAAAACTCAGTCTGATCCGGAATCTCTGGAATGCGCGTCTGGGAAACCTCGAGTGGCGGATCGGTAGCAGCGAGTCGATTTGTCCAAAACTCTAAACACAATCATTGACGTCAGCGACATATGAAGTCCGGTCAGCAAACGGTCATCTCTCACCTTTGCAAAACCAACAGTAGCCTTGCCACCGAGTCCCGCGATTCACAAAACCAACGCCATCAATGTAGACGCGATAGGTGCGCGAATGAACACGCTCGTCGGCGCATGCGCAGCAATTCGGTGTTGATGTTAATCGGCAGCTTGTGGCGAGCTTGTGAGGGCAATGCGTGTCGAGGCGTAGGCAGTATGCGGTCAAGGTACCCATTGCGAATGGAGTGTGGCGTTGTCGGTGTGGTGGTTAATTCAGTTATCGAAATGATGATTTATATAAAAGAGAAAGATGAGAAAGACACGTCAGTTGTAAACCTCAAGTCAATGAAGCTTGAGAAAGACGCCGTGGCGCGCGGAGAATCTAGAACGAGTTTCGCGGTCGGTCGGTCACTGCATGCACGTCGTCGCTCATGGATTAGTGGGGCAAACGGAGTCCGTGGGGTAAAGTGGGTCTGTAGCTGCACAGAGCTTCTCCAACCCTGCACAATACCTCGTTGGTCTCTTTCTAGAAAGAGTCAATGATACAAGTGGCATGTTTCCCATGAAATATATGTGTGGCTGTTACTCTGTACCGCAAGATAACTGACACTCTTGCCCTATCAAAATCTAAGCGCCCAAATACGTAGTCAAGACTCATGACCTGTACCCACACCTCAGCTGAATCTGTTGCCTACAAGACTCGCACTACAAAACCACTCTCATACCCAAAACTCCTCTTCACAAAACAAATACCCCCCATCTCCGCCGCCCCAAAAATGACATCCCCAACCCTAGAAATCCACAACCCAAACCCCTGCCCCACCACCCCCCGCTCCCCCAGCTTAACCCTCACCTCCTTTGGCGCCCACACCCTCAAACCCTCCGTCCCCGTCTACCTCCCCTGGAACCTCACAAGCCGCGAATTCCACGCCCTTCTCCTATCCAACCCAGAAGACTGTAAAACCTTGTTCCCGCAACACCAGCCCAACTTTGGTTTTCCTGCATTACGGGAGTGGCTGTCACGGCTCTTGGATACGCTTTCTACCCAGAGCGATGAGGAACATGCCTTTCACGCGCATCCGTATAAGTTGCGTAAGCTAGATATTGAATCTGTAGATTGGTGGTTTGAAGGGAGACTGGGGTTTATGAAGTTGCAGGCTGAGATTCGGAATGATGAGGAAGAGGATAACTGGATTCCTGGGGCTGTGTTTTTGAGGGGTGGTAGTGTTGCTGTTCTTGTACGTCTGCCCTACATCTACCCCCTTCCCCTGTCAGAGATACAAATAACCAACACCGCCAGATCCTCATACACACCCCCTCCTCAACTGAACCCCACGTCCTCCTAACCCTCCAACCCCGCATCGCAGCCTCCACCCTCTCCTTCACCGAGATACCCGCCGGCATGCTCGACGACTCGGGTAATCTCGCTGGTAAAGCCGCACAGGAAATCAGCGAAGAAGCACATTTAACTGTTCACCACACTGAGCTCCTCAATATGTCGGAGCTCGCCACAGAAAACTCCCTAAAAGAGGAAGGATTGAGAAATGCAATGTACCCCTCCCCCGGCGCCTGCGACGAATTCATCCCCTTATTCCTCTGTCAGAAACGACTAACATCGCGACACATGGAGTGGTTGGAAGGACGGGTGACGGGGTTGAGGGGGGAAGGGGAGAGGATTACGTTGAAGCTTGGTAAATTGAGTGAGTTGTGGAAGGTGGCTGCGAGGGATGGGAAGGCGCTTGCTGCGTTGGCGTTGTATGAAGGGTTGAAGAGAGAGGGGAGGATTCCGGATGTTTCTGATGAGGTGGAGAGAGAGCCTGAGGAGTTGTAGGGTAAGATGTGAAGATTAAGTAGAGGTGGATCATACCCTTTTTGATTACACATTGGACTAATATTGAATACTGTGCGTGACTAAGGACTGATATAGACGCTTTTTGAGGTCCAGCCGTGGAACTCCCCGACATGTTAAGATGCTTTTGCTTTTACGCTAAATCGTGAGAATTGCAGTGCTGATAAAGTCGACGTCTAGTATGCAAATTGACATTAACAGCTACACCCCCAGTCGAATTCTCGCAAGTCTCGTACTTCCATCGCTAGCTGATCCATGGGTAACTTTTTCCGTGGCCCGCTTGTACCGGTAGTACCTCGCGGTGGCAACTCCGAATGGAACCCCTCGTCGGAACCGGGATCTGGGAAACTCGTTGCTCCAGCCGGACGGCTTGGTACAATGCACATGTTGTACAGGCCCGATTCTGAGCCGAAACGACGTAACATGCAGCCTTCCATGATGTCACTGAAAGCCAACATCGAGACTTGGGTGTCGGAAGCGTCTTCCTTTGAAATCCATCAACATTCTGAACAAACCGAAATTAAGTCTGGCGTATGTTTTCAGCAGCGGAGGAATAGGAAATCTGGCAACTTGATTAGGACCAAAGAAAAAGGAGAAAAGAGGGTTCGCGTGTAGTCGTAACCGGTCGAGGTCATATTCTTACGTCGCCTTGTTGAAGCTTGTCGGACCAATCTGGCCGGTACTTCGTTTTCATGTGCTGCATGAGGTCAACCAGCGACGCGGAGAGGGCAGCAGAGCTCGGCCATTTCCAGGAGGAGAGTTCGAGGACCAGAAGCGCATTGGAATACAGCTGGATGAGGTTTCCGCCAAAAATTGCGGGGATGTTCTGGATGAGGACAGTGCCGGCTCTGTAGACCCAGTGTGGTGTCACAAAGACGTGGATACCTCCGAAGCTCACTACAGCCTCGCTACAGTACGTTAGTATTGTAATGAATGATGATGTAGGTCACGTACAGGACATGCCATGCACTTCCCCAGCAGGGATTCAGCAGGAGATGCGTCATGTGCAGTGTGATGCGGATGGCAGGCAGTAGCTCGTCCCTCTCGTCAAAAAGTGGCAGGAGCTTCTTGACATTCTCCTTGGCAATTTCGTCACCCTTGCGAAAACGGTTCTGCATCCTATACAACGAGCAGAGATACTCTGCAGGTTTGTTCTTGTCGAAGCACAGTTCCGTTTCCTGCAATCGTTAGTCACGTCATGAGGTATGATGAGAAACTTACGGGCTCGGGGAACAGCGCAGGCCGGTCCAAAGTAGAAGCAATCTGGTTCTCGAGACTAAAAATAGTCATGTGCATTGCATGGAGCAATTCAACATCGTGTGGCTCCAACTCCTGCAAAGCCCCTTTCGATTCCAGATCAAAGGCTAGCCGACCCGCCAGAGCTACCTGCTGGCCAATGTTACCACTCATGGGATCGAATGAGCTATTGATGGCTAGTAGCAGAACAGAGCGAATCGTATCAATGTTTGGCTCCAAGGTGGCTACTTCGAGATGCTCCATGGCATCTGCAAAGTACTGTGTGGCCAGGGAGCGGTACCTGATTGAATTTGCTTGGTGGTATGCTAGTCTACCTGAAGGGTTCCAGCCCTGGCTATGCGGCTGCTTCTTGCCGGTGTTTGGGAGGACATAGCAGGCTATGGAGTAGATCATATAAAGCGAGAACTTTTCGGTTGATGTTAGGTCGCTGGGCAGCTCGGGCCCTAGGTAACGCTGGGAAGCATCGAGAATGGGATAGATGGGCTGGATAATCTCCAGATACAACTGCACAAGCTCATACTGCTTGTCGGTTGAGTCCTTGTTCATAAACTGCCACTCGTCAAACTCGTCGTCGGTCTGCTCGCCGCGGACATTGGTGGCAGCATGCAGACGCGGCGACTTGAGTAAGCAGGATTCAGCACCCAGATAGCGGTAGCTGTTGCCAGCCTCGGCGAAGTGATGCTCGTGTCGCGGAGAGTCGGACTCTAGAGAGTCGCTCTTGATTGCGCCAAACGTGCCGTTCTCCACGAGGCTTCCCGAATTGGGCGGCGACGGCCCGCCTGACAAGCGCCGCACACGATCCACCAGCTCGCTGATATAACTGGGTCTGTAAGCCAGCGCAGAGCATACGGCACAGCAAATGACCTACCTCCTGGGTAGCAGCTGGTTGCGGCCGTGGTCGTAGAACATGCACTCGACGCCGGCCTTTGTGCATTGCCTGTGGCCGTTAGCCCTTTTGCGCCAGGGTGGGACAAGGGAGCAATGTACCTGCATTTCGGCAGCAGAGTATCGCATCCGCGGCGACACTCTCGGCACCTTTTGCATGCGGGGAGGCTCTAGGACATGGTGAGTGCACGATCCCAGATTGCGGAGGCCGTCGGGGTTACCTGGACCAGCGCCTCCACGTCGAGCATGGGCATGGCCATGGCCATCGAGGCCTTGCTGGGAGCGGCCGACATGAAAGGCGGAAATTACGTCTAGCGGCAGCTGAGGTTTGTATCACGATTCATCGCTCTGATGGCGACGGACGTCTTGAGACGAACGCGATGGGACGCCTGAGCAGTGCAGTGCAGTATGGCGAGTGAGGACGATCTTATCGGGCAAGCGTCGCCCGATGCAGAAGCGATCACCGCGGCCGCCTGCATCCCGCGTGGCCTCACATGCTCGCATCCCGTCCCGCCTCGAGCAGTTGAACAACACCAACACCTTCATCGCCAACGCCATGAAAACCGCGACCGAGCGGTACGCACGCAACCACCATGCAGAACCGGACCAAAGTGCGTCGCCGCGTCCTGGCATGTGCCCGCTGTCGGAAACGTAAACTCTCGGTGCATACCCTCTCTCGTGCTCACGTGTAAATGCTGACTTGTCGAGTGCGACGGCAAAGTGCCAGCCTGCACGCGATGTGTAGATGCCGGCGTTGAGTGCGTGGGCTTCGACTCTTCGACCCAGCGGGAGGCCCCGCGGTCCATTGCTGATTTCCTGGAAGCGCATATTGTCCGACTCGAGGGCCAGAGCACGCCCTCAACAATGCATTCCATGGGCCAGTCGAGTGCGGCAATGTCGTCCCCCGCAGAGTCCAGTGTGTCTGATGCGAGGTCGGCCCCGTGGCGTCCTGAAAAGTGTACCTTTGCCGACAGCCTGGTCAACCAGGTCATGGAAGACATTACGCCCTCATTTCTCGGTGTCTGCAAAGCGCGGCCCTTTCTGCAGTGCGTCATCAAGGGCACGAGGCTACCATCCAAAAAGGGCCCTGTTCTGTCCAACGATCTGAACGAAAACCATCCCCGCTCCATTCTCAACCCCCAGCAGACCAAGGGACTCTTCTACGACCTCATGCCCGACGAGGTGGGCGCCAACAAGCTGCTGCAAAACTACCTGGATCGTGTCATTACACAGTACCCCATTTACCACCGCAATGACGTCACTACAGCTTTCAACTCCATCTACCACAAGAAGGTGCCGACTCCGGACGAGGACTGCTTCCGGAATCGCTACATTGTCTGCATCATCATGGCCATTTCGCTGAGCACTAGCGCACGGAACAATGTGAAAAAAGCAAACGACCTCGCCTACCAACTTGTGCGCCACGCAATGCAATGGATCCCAGAAGTGGCGACCAACGACATACCAGGACTGCAGGCCATTCTGCTGCTAACACAGTACATCTTCTTGAACCCCAAGATGGCTGACTTGTGGCTTTTGACCGGTCTCATTAGTCAGGCAGTAATCGACCTTGGCCTGCACCAGGAGCTGCCAAATGACGTCAAGGTCTCTGCCTACCAACGCGATATGCGACGGCGTATCTTTTGGTGCGCATGGGAAATGGAAGTCGGTGTCTGCTCAATCTTCCTGCGCCCCACTAGCCTACCGATCAGGCGGATAGACGTGGCATTCCCCTGGGAGGTGGATGACACTGGCATTACTACGTCTAGCACCTGCCCTACTGGACGCGTCTCCAAGTTCACGCAGCGCATTATTTGCCGCTTTCGCTTTATCGAGGCTGACATCATTTCTGTTCTATGGCATGGCGAGCCGTTGTCCAACGAGTACGCCTCCCTAGAGCAGTGGATGCAGCATTGTATCGATGGCATGGCAGAGTGGCGGCGAGAGATCCACGCGGCATCAATGGCCAACAAAGATCGCAGCTTGGTTGCACGATGGACCGAGATGTGCCTCTACTCGGATATTGCGTATCCCTACATCTTGTCTTTGCTGCATCGCTCCTCGCGCCGAATACCTCACCCGAGCAGAAGACAGATGATGGTTGCTCTATTGAATGCTGTCGAAGTGGCAGACGGGTACTCTAAGCAGTCCGAGGCAGAGGCAGGGAAGATTAAATACGTCTTCCATCCATGCCACCATGTTTTCGACTGTGCTCTCATATTCCTCCAGGGTCTGCAACGCTGCAAGCAGGAGATTGCTCTCAATTACCCGTGGCAGGATGTGGAGCAATGGATGAATGTCTTTTCCAGGTGTTTCCTGTCCATTTCAGAGCGATGGGCGGCAGCTAAGAGGTGCTATGAAGAATACGAGCGACTGCTTTTACCAGTCAAGAAGGAGTACCTGGAGTACTTGGAGTCAAAGCCGACTTTCCATTCACCACCACTTTCTCACGCCACGTCCGATCCAGCTAGTATGTACGAGTACCAAGTAACGCATCCCGCTCTCACACAAGTTGATGAGTATCAATTCTGGACAATCTTCAATCCCACCACTTCAACGACCGATGCACCCGACTCACTGGGAAGTGCAAATTCCTATTGCCCACCCCGGGATTGGAATGCAGAGTTTTCTTTCAATGATAACATGGACATGATGTTGGAGGTGTAATTGCATGGCAAGGATGGATCTCGGCATTGTTCAAGTTTGGCGTTTGGGTTCTTTCTGGAGTCAATAATAGCAGGGGGGTCTGCGTACCGTATGTCTGGTTTGACGCAACAAAATGGCGTCTTGGCTGGATTCGCATGAGACAGATGACTTCCACATACCCAGGCTCAAACGAAAATTTGATGTTCAATTCACAACTCCAAGTTTATACTTTCCTCCACCTCTGTCGGCCTCCCCATTCGCAGAACAGCCTTCTTACTCTTCAAATCCATGACGATACTGAACAGTGTCTCACTCTCGCTCTCCTCCGTTGCAATCCTATTAATCGAAAACGGCGTATTCTGCTCATCCTCAAACAACACACTTATCTCCTCCCAACTAGGTTCCTCCTTTGCATCCAATTTCCCCACATTCTCACCCATAGTCTCCATCCGCGTCAACGAATCTTTCAACCACACCGTATCCGTTTCCGTTTCTCCCGGGTGTTCACCCAAGAGATGATTCGTATATATCACCCTCCCTCTCTTATCCGGCCGCACATGAGCAAACGTACTTTTTGTAAATTCCAGCCCCAAACACGTGGTTCTATCACCCAGCAGTATATGCGCCGAAGACGCCATACCGAATTCCTCCAACTGCCGTACTGCGTCTTCCACGGAGCTGCTTTCCAACGCCATGCGTAAACCAAAGTGCGCGGGCATGCGCGTGGGGTCTACACCGATGACTTTAATGGCGTTGAAGAGGGTACCGACACCTGCGCTGTTGAAACCGATTTTTCCGATGATGCCTGCTTCTGTAACTTGGAGGATAGTGGGTTTATCCTCTTGCGTTATCTTTGTTATGACGAGGTTTTGTTGTTGGTCGGGCATCCACTGGTTATAATCAGTAACTACCCGCGCATGTTCATTCCACATCTTCTTTTTTTTTCTGAATTAAAAGTTTGGCTTAACTTACATCCCAATTCTGACCCAACCACATCCTCTCACTCGTCGTCCAGCCCATTGCTGTACACCCATCAGTAGTACCCCCCTCCTTACCATCCCCCTCCCCATCGAGACCTAAACCGAAATTTATCTCAGTCCTCACATTCACCGCTACAATATCTAATAACCCCACTCCCGCACCATCGGCGACGCCTCTCATCTCTTCATGATACCTGGGCCATTTCTCTCTTGCGGTTTGCTCAAATACAGCAGCGTGCTCGAGGACTTCAGGCCAACGCTTTTTACAGTTTTTCAAAAAGAGACAGGCGTAGAATTCGATTGTGCGGTGGATCTGTAGAGAGGCGGAAGTGCCGTGGTGGTGGCCGATCTAGGGGTGGGTGTGTGGTTAGTTACGGTTGGGGTAGTTAAGGACGGAGTGACGTCATAGGTGGTGGGTGGTGGGAAAATTTACTTGGTACGGTGTTCCCATGCATTCTACGAACAACATTGTTTGCGGTTCAAAGTTTACAGATGGATGGATGGATGTAAAATGGTAGCTGGTGGGATTATAAACTGCGGTTATATATGTATGTAGGTTTTATGTAAGAGGTTTCGGTTATCCCACGTTTTTTTGCCCCGCGTCGGGGCGTTTTTTGTTCCCGTTCCGAGATGTCGCTTCAGATTCCTTGGCTGGGGGGTTCGGAAGGAGAGTGGCTGTGTTGAGCCGTGATCGTACAAGGGTGGTTTGTATGCGGCTTAGCTTTTTCGGGTGTTGGGGTTGTTTTCTCACTTGGAATTTGGGGTAAGAGGTGTGTTGGAGTATACCCTAGCATTGCATATGGGACCGCGGACTTGGGATACGATGACGCCATGACGGAAGAGTGGGAAGAATATTGCTGCTATGCTGTGAGTGGCATTGTGATTGAATATTATTTAATCTAGAGCTCTTCGTCGCTGACATCTACGGTGCTTTCTGCTAAATCCAAATCTTGGAATCTGTTATCAATCTTCTCGTTCTCTGTCTCCTCATCCGTCTCGTCTTCCTTCTTTATCTTCGGCCCCGCCTCGTCTTTCTTCTCCCTCGACTTCTCTTTGTCCACCATTTCATCTTCTGTTTCCTCCTCGTCCATCATTTCGTCTTCTGTTTCCTCCTCGTCTACCTCCACCCCCTTCCCCTTCCCCACCTCTTTATCTCGCCACCACGGATCCTCCGCCTCATTTTCATCACACTCATCAACAACATACTCATAAACATCCCAACAATACCTCATCCCATCCTTGATCTCAAACGTCACCCCCACCCTCTTCTTCTGCTCATTCAACTTATTACTCCCAGTAAGATAAGCCTTGTAATGCCAGCTTAACTGGAAAGACTTCCTAGCATCTCTTGACTTTGAAAGAAGATCTTCTACTGCTTTGTTCATAGCGCTCTCTACGACGATACGACGATGACCGCTGCAACTCTCCACACTTCTGCGGATGACGTTGGAGCCGCTCTCGGTGCGGAATGTGAAGGTGAAGGGCTTTTTGGTACAAGGGCTTTTGCTGTGCACTCTGTGTGTGGTGTAGAGTGGAGTGTCTGGGTTGGGTACGGGGGGTGTTGTAGAGTCGGAGGCTGAGGCGGAAGTGATCCTGTAGCCGGTGTGGTGGCCGGGGGAGATTTCTGAGGCTATGAGAAAGTGAAATTTTGTCATGGCTGTATGTGTGTGTGGAAGAGAGTGGGGGGGGGGGGGGGGTGGAAGGTGATGAGAAGAAGAGGGTAGACGAGCGCTTTGTTATTCGTTTACTAGTGTGGAGACAGTGGCTATCACAAATTCATGAAGTCCTGTGGGGTATAGCAATTACTTACTCATTCTACTCATCTGATATACCCCAGAAGCATACACAACAATATTTCATCTTCTCTTTCCGTAATCAGTGAGACTAAGACTCAGACTCAGAATCCGACTCCGGGAGCTCTGTACCCATGCCCTCCATTAGATCGACCGTCATCGCCGGAAGACACAGCTCCTTGTTGTATGGATTACTCGGGTACTTGATACGAAAATCCAATGGCACAACATCCCACCACACGTGAAACCCATCTCCATCTGGAAAGTAAGTCGAAGCCAAACCCCCGGCCATCCGCCAGGGTACCAGTAATGGTTTTTCCTTCCTTGGGTTGTACTCCCTGTTCACCCACTCCGATTGCATGGCCAACGCAGACTCTTCTTCCCAACAAACTTCGAATAGGTCCACACACATAGCATCGTGGTTGGGCTCATGTCGGAGGACGATTACGATCTTTTCTTGACGATCCCATGGAGAGACGACGACTTTTGTGTTGATTAGATGTGGGTCGAGGGCTGTGCGAACGTATGTAAGGTAGACGGAAGGCTTACGGGTGGTGCAACAGTGGAGTCGGATGATGCAGTATGCTCGCTTCATGGCAAATAATAACGAGATGACAGATAGAGCGAAGGGCTGTTTGAAGAATATCGGGGTGATGTTAAAGCGCGTACGTGTGAACAAGCAATGAGATTGTTGTAGACAAAGACATGAAAGGGCTTTCTCTCAGATCCTACAAGCCTAGTAGTCGGTTGGTAGTCTTGGAAGTAGCCAACATGCTGAGGCAAGTATCGGAAAGCTCGGTAGAGCTCCCGTCAAAATAATGTAATCAACGGTGTCGTCGCTTCCATATCATAGATTGAGGAATTGCGACTCTGTGTCGGTACGTCCTTGAACCATGATCCTCTGCCAAAGCTCGCTTTCGCTCAATTTCCTCTTCATCTCGCTGATATTTTCCTCCTTAGTACCATTTACATCGACCTGGATTGTTAGTATGCGGTCTAGCATGCAGAGTCAAAACTTACATCGATCAAGATACCACGCTGACGATAAGTGTCCTCGACAGGCAAAGTCTCCACCTCGTATTCTGCAAATCGTCGCTCAAACTTCTCATTGTTATCGTTACTATCCCGAGCTCGCGCGGAATACCTCGCTTTCGCATTCTGCTTGCTGACGCGCAAGGAAATCACGATATCCGGCTTCGCATCGACGTTGGGTCCACCAGAAAACGGTAATTCATCTGCAAATGGCCAGAAGCTCCACGAATCTAGCTGTTCGATGTTTCTCGGAAACCCGTCAATCATGATACCAGCCTGTTCCGGCTTCCGATTGATTGCATCTTTAATGGCGTGGCAGATGAACGGATTCAATTCTTTCGACGTCAAGAAGCCTTGGTTATCGAGCTTATCTTGGATCGTGACTGCGAGCGGTGCGCTGCGATTCTCGCGCATCCAGCTGCGTAAGCCATCTCCAACGGAATGGTGTACTAGGTTGTAGGTCTGGGCTAAATGGGTGCAGAGGGTTCCTTTCCCCGCACCGGGTGCACCTGCTAATTGTTACCAAGGCATCAAGCGACGAACCAGAGACGCATACCGAGTACGAATATGATAGCGAAGCCGCGCTGACCGCTGAGCTGCTGTGTTGTCTCCATGGTGCGTTGTTGCGGATCGAATTTCTTTGCGGGAGGAGAAGGTACGTTTACCTTCCGGATATATCCGTTAATCAGCAGATGAGGGGCATCTTTACATGTACCTGCTGAATGACCCACTCAGGACTTGCATGATTGTTGTTTGTCAAACGCCGTTGCTGCAGCAGCGGGGATCCATGTCCGAGGAGGTGCCGCGTAGCTACTTATCCCCACACACCCCACCGCCTTCTCTGGCTCCCACCAGCCTTCTATCGTTACCTGCGCTGATTACATCTTCTGGGTAATAAGTCAAGATGGTGCTTCTTTCGTTACTGGCGGAAGTGCCAGCACCTCTGTACATCCTCGCCATTGGGCTTTGTACAGTCTATGTCTACATTACTTTCACCAAGAATGCCGAACCAACGGCCGACGACGCAGCGGTTGAAGAAGTCACCAAATCAATTATTGGGCATGAAAGAGACTCAAAAGACCTGGAAGTGGCCATCTCAACAATCAAGATACCAGCGAAATCACCAAAGGAAGTAGCTCCACCACTGGATCCTTCCCAGCAACCAGACGCTCCTGTTTCAGTCAATTACTTCCCATCACGAGTGTGCAACTATGCGTGCAAGTTCTGCTTCCACACTGCAATCACCTCTTTCATGTTGGATGGGGAGGAAACAAAACGTGGTCTAAAACTGCTGAAAGAAGCCGGTATGCGCAAGCTCAATATTGCCGGAGGTGAACCATTTCTTCACGCGAAAAAGATCAGCGCCATGTTGAAATACTGCAAGGAAGACCTGGGAGTCGAAAGCATCAGCATTGTCAGCAATGGAAGCAAGATTACCGAGCAGTGGATGAGTGAAAATGCCAAATGGTTGGATATTCTTGCCATTTCGTGTGACTCATTCAACCCGGCTACAAACATCACAATCGGACGCGGCGAAGATGGAGAGAACGTGACACGACTGAGGGAAATCGCCGCGTGGTGCAGGACCTACAATGTCAAGTTCAAGCTCAACACTGTCGTCAACAAATACAACTGGAACGAAGACATGGTTGCCGAAATCCAAGAGCTAGCGCCATTCCGCTGGAAGGTTTTCCAATGTCTCATTGTCGCTGGCGAGAATGAGAGTGAAGAAAGGTTACGAGATGCAAGGGACTTCTTGGTGACTGACGAGCAATGGCGTACATTCTGCGATCGTCATAAGCACCTTCCCTGCTATGTTCCGGAAGATAACAACTCCATGGCTAGCAGCTACTTGTTGCTTGACGAGTACATGCGCTTCTTGGACAAGGGAGAGGGCATGATTAAACAGAGTGAGTCTCTTCTTAAGGTTGGCGTCATGAAGGCTATGGAGCAGGTGGTGTGGGATAAGAAGTCATTTGTTGAGCGCGGTGGAATCTACGACTGGAGCAGGGAGGATGGGAAGCAGAAGGAGAGTGAAAGCGCGTGTGGGACTAAGCTCGATTTGAAGGCGCTGAAATGGTAGTCGGTCAAGGCGATTTGATATCGGCGCAGTGTTTGGGACTAGGGGAATTTGACAAACATGTTGGAATAGATTTGATGGGTACTTGGAATCACGTTTACGACTATTGGCACATTCTCTTTAAACACTTGTGACCATTCTCCTAAAGAACATGCTTAGAACCGACTTGATAAGACGAACAGTAGATAATTTCTGCCCAGGTGGGTTGAACCCGGAGTAGTCAGCTTTGGACCCTGATATGACTATGGCCTAATGCGGTTTAGCTCTCTGAAAGCAAGCATTCTGCACAGTACTGTTATCCGCAAGTCACCCATTGGCGAATAGTTTTCCCATCTCTAGAAGCTGCTGTATTCAATCGAAGCAAACCCGCGTTTAATAGCTGGGGAAACGATGTCAGTATACCGCCTCCGTCACTGCCTTAGCTTATTAACAGACGCAGCAGTATGAGCGAGTACAACACGATGCACAGCCGTGCTCACAAGGATCGCGCACGACCCGCAGAGACACCCGAGGAAAGAGCGATCATGGCCCATCATGCTCGACATGTCAAACTTCCTTTGTACTGGCGCAGTCCCGACCATGTCCTTGGACGACTAAAGAAGTCGATGGAAAGGGACGAAAAGAGTATGGCAGAGTCAGACTTACTCCTCGTCGAAGCGCGTAAGGTGCTTGCTGCTGCCACATTGCAACTGGAGAAGATCAGGAAGATGCGAGTTGAACCACTTGCCAGGGAAGAAGTCATCGGTGAAGATGACGCGAACGATGCAGTTAGCCCTCCGCGGACTTCTGCGGTCGGACCGGACCAACAAGGTGCTGTGCAGAGTGTTACTGTTGAGAAAAAACTTCACGGATCGGAACTGCCTCAAACTCCCGCACAGTCAGGCAAGCGGGCAAGTCCTCGACAACAGGCGGGCACAGGTGTGAATGGCGAGGGCGGAAACCCGGATCTTGATAACAAGATGGATATTGGAACTACAGCTAACGCGGAAGGTTCTGTATTCACTTCCAAACACGGCTCTGCTAGGCGCCTAGTCAACAAAGTGCGTCGGGCTTTCTGTCGAATCTGGAAGTCTCGTTAATGGTGTGATGGTCATGGACTGAGAAGATTCAGAAGAGGTGGACGAGTTATGAATCTGCTGGAAGTCCGGATCGATGGTCATTCGGACGTGTCAATTGTTCAACGTGTTCTGTGCTGCCGGAAATCTGGGCTTTTACTTTACTCAATCACTAAGGTCCAGACATTGACGACCAAACAACGAGCTGTCTAGACTCTGTAAAAAAGACATGCATACTCAACATGAGTGTGGAAGTGTGTGCGGACTTTTCCGCCAATTGAATATAGTTGGTGCTAGCGCATGTGGTCGCTCATCCCCTGGAACTAAGATATCGACGACAATTTTGATGACGCCAGCTCAGTAAGTCGATGACGCAGGGAGAGGAGGGGGTAGCTGAGAAGCTTTACGAGAGTTGCATAGTAGATGTGTCTCAATTGACGATTCGGATAGGAGAAGATTCATCACGTGTTGCATTGCCACGACGTCATTTCTTACCACACCTCCAGCACGCCTGGCAGGTACTCACGTCACGTGGTAAGCACAGGCCTTGGCTCAAGGTTCTCAACAAGCGCAACTTCGAACGTCGCTACCAAATTCAATGTCTTGACATGCTGCAGCTCAAGTCCGGTACGGTCGTATGCAGGGGTAATACCACATCAACGCGCAGTGCGCATGAAAATGTACTGTAAGTGAGGCTTCTTGGTTATGCTCGCAGCTTCCATCTTCGTCTTCATGCTTGTCCACTTTTACCAGGTGCACGTCCATGGCACCATCCATCTACTCCTATCCTTATCGCGACGTCATCTCGTACGCGACGCGGCCATGTTTGCCCGACCAGGACATTTATTACAGTAAACAAGGTCAGATATTATTCTATAAATTCCATATAGCCCCACACATGTTAGACATGGCTAAGCCCAGATTGGTGCAAGAAAGCGTGGGTCGAGTGAAACACCAGGCCCAATTTAGTAGTTTTGTAATTTGCTGGGGAATGTCGAGGCACGATTCGCGCGGCAAAGGATGAGATTGACCGGGCACCGAGAGCTGGACTGCGAAGCTATACTTGGGACGGGGAAGCGTTGATTACGAAATGCCGGCTTGTGCTGTCCCTGCGTCTGTTCACGGGGCGGTATACGGAGTGAGATGCAGATCTTACAGGCCCAGAATACATTTGCTACTGGCGGTGGGCGGAGACAAGGCGCAGTACGGTGCAGCATGCCCCTTGAATCTCACAACAGCAAGATGGCCTGGGTTTGGAGAATGGGTCGAGGTAGAGGTCATGATAGGGGTCCAGACAAGATGTCGACAGCTATGGCCGTTGCACGTTACCCTTCTCCACATGGTCAGTGATGACGGCTGACTGTGTGCAAGTGCACGCAGAGGGTCCAATGGCGGGAGTGACAGACATTTCCCTTGTTCTGGACCTGGTGACTTTGTGGAGGATGTGCAAGACGGCGAGCAGTCACAATGAAAGATTTGGTGGACAAGGGCCGAGGACAGTCGCGGAACAATGAAGATTAGAGTGCATTAGATTGTCCAGAGCGCCCCTGGCACAGGCACAATGGTGTAGGTGACGGCACACTGTGTCCCAAAACGCATTAGACGCAGCCCTGTGCGCGCATCCCTCGTTGGGTCGGTCGGTGGCCAAATGGGCCATGTTAGCTGACTGCACTGCTCACAACCTCACGACTGCGACTGTCGAGTTTCTTTGCTCTGCTCGCTGTCTGCCGTGCCCTCTCGCCTTGTCTTTTCTGTCTTCTCTTGTCTTCCCATTGTTTAGCGCTGTCACCGGGTGGATCCAAGCTGGGCCCCCACACAATCAGCGACTTGTCCGCAGAGCACTCTCATAGCAGGGGTTCACGCACCAGCACCTTCACTCACCCGAAATCCCGACGACACGCACCGAGTGCTCCCCCCATAGTCGATAGTCTGCCCCCATTCGCGCTGGAAGCACCCTGTTGTTGTTTTCGACATATCGCGCCTAGTCTCGCTCCAGGTCGGCCCAGCACTCGCAGCCGTGCAGCCCCTCTCGAGTACGCCCTCGCCCTTAGCAGTGCCCACTAAAGTTTATGAGCGACCGCCGCCACAACATCCCACAGTATCTTTACATTCACCATCCACAGCAGCCCGACGCCCGTCGGAACAAGGAGCGTACACCTGCCCTTTACGCCCCTTACGCCCACCAACCCGCCCATCTGCCGCCATACGGCCTCGCCCTCCCCCAAGTGCCCCCGTATCTGCTGCTGCATCCGTTCCTGCAGCTCGCGCGCATCGACGAAGTGCATCAATCCGCTTCGCAAACGCCTTTTCCCGCCGTAATTGTGTCTCCCCATTCGCTGAGCCCGCCTCCGCAGCGGGACTCAGGCCGCTCCGCACCCAAGAAGCCCTCCGCAAAGACGGCACAGGCGCGCCCTGACACCACAGATGGGCATAAGGAGTCGCAGCGCAGCGTGCCCACCAGCGCGCCGACGATGACATCAAACGGTGTGTCAAATACGGCGAGCAAGCGGGAAGACGCCGCTCCGCAAACGCGCAGCCAACGCCCCTCGATCGTCTCACAGCACTCCAACTCGGTGCCCTCGACGCCTCTGCAGGTCGCTCGCAAGTATAGTACCCGCTCCCGCTCGCCCTCGCCCAACGGTGGCCTGGGCAGCCATTCGCCTCGCTCCGTCTCCTCCGAGGCCAATAGCACCATGCCCACGCTACGTCCAGCCCGCCCCTTCAAGTGCCGCTTCGAGACCAATGTCGGCATGCTCGGCCGCCGCCGCATGCCCTACCAGTCGGATGAGATTCTAGAAAAGGCAAAAGAGGAGCCTAAGAAGAGCCTGGACCCTCACGAGGACGACAAGCTGAGCGGTGACATGCGCGAGCTGTACGACCGGTTAGAGCCCAAGCAGGAAGACACTGACAATCGCGAGCGCTTCGTCCGCAAGGTCCAACGTATTCTCGAGACGGAATTTCCAAGCACCAAGATTATGGTGCATGTTTTTGGCTCTTCGGGGAATATGTTGTGGACATCTGAGAGTGACGGTAAGTCAACATTGTAATGTGTTGGATGTGCTGGCATGTGCTAACAGTAGCAGTTGATATATGCATCCAAACGCCTATGAAAAGGCTCGAGGAGATGCATCCGCTGGCCGAGGCTCTTGATAAGCGTACGTATAAGTATGTCGTAACTAAACCTAGCTAACCTCTGCAGACGGTATGCAGCGCGTTGTATGCATACCTGCGGCCAAGGTCCGGATAGTAAAAGTCTGGGATCCCGAGCTGCAGCTTTCTTGTGACATCAACGTGAACAACGTGGCCGCAATCGAGAACACTCGCATGATCAAGACGTATATTCAGCTCGACGACCGCGTGCGTCCGCTGGCTATGATTATCAAGCACTGGACCAAGCGGCGTATTCTGAATGATGCTGGCAAGTCTTTCCTTTTAACTTGATCCCTTTATGTTTATCATACTCCTGCTAACAGCCTCAGGCATTGGTGGCACAATCAGCTCGTATACGTGGATATGCCTGATTCTCAACTTCCTCCAGACGCGAGACCCGCCTGTCCTGCCCAATTTGCACGAACTTCCTGACCGCGCACGGGACGAGACGACCGGCCAGCCATCGCTCTCGAGCTTTGCCGACGATGTGGGTAAGCTACGGGGCTATGGTAAAGACAACAAAGAAAGCCTAGGTCAGCTGCTCTTTCACTTCTTCCGGCTGTATGGACACGAGATAGACTATGAAAAGGAGGCGATTTCGGTGCGGCAGGGCAAGCGGATACTACGAGAGGAGAAGGGCTGGCATCCGGGCGGTGGTCAGAAGGAGGGTGTTAACCGTCTATGTGTCGAGGAGCCTTTCAATACGGAGCGCAATTTGGGTAACTCTGCAGACGACTATGCGTGGCGTGGGATACACCTGGAGCTGCGTCGTGCGTTTGATCTCCTTGCAGACGGCCAGCAGCTCGACAAGGCCTGTGAGCAGTTTGAGTACCCGCCCGAGGAGAAGTCGAGCGCAATATTCAAGAAGCCACAGTCGCAAAAGGCCATCATAACCTCGAGCGTACCCAGCCGCAATGGACGAGGCGGACAAAACTCGCGCGGCAGAGGAGGCTTTAGTCTCAAGAACCAGCACGGGGGTAGTAGACGGTCGTCGGGCAGCTCTTCGTACACACAGAACCGCCCGCCTTTTCTGCACAGCCCGCCTATTCCCGCGAGCGCTGGCCCGGAGTACTTTAGCTTCCCCAGAAGTGTCCACGACCAGCTGCATGACCAGTTGTATCAGCAGTACCAGATGCTGGAGATGCAGTCAAATTCGCTGCGTGCTCAGCTGGCCGCCCAGCAACATGCCCAGCAGGCACACCAAGTGCGGGCTGCGCAGATGCATGCTCATGCTGTGGCTCAGGCACAGGCGCAGGCACAGGGACGATCGCAGAACAACACTAGCGGCTCTCCGCAAAAGTCGACGCATCCAAACGACCGCCACAGCCCGCGGCTGGCGGAGCGGGGAATACCGCCAAGTGCTCTTCCCCCAGGCTTTTTGTACAATTATCCTGGTTTCTTCAACGGTTCGCAGCCAGATCCCAATGGTTCGCAGGATGGTTCGCGGACGAATCCGTCTTCCCCGTCTCTGAGCAACAGCCTGCCTGGCGTCCATCGCGGAGTGCACCGCGCCTCCAACGCCAGCGAAACGAGCTCTCTCCGTTCTCACTCCCAGCCCCCACGCAGCGTTGGACAGTCAGTCATTGTGGGATATTCGCCCATGCCCCAGCTTGTTGATCCCGCGACGTTTGCGGGCTACCCAATCGCGCGCTCTTCGCAGGACGCAAAGCCACAGACGGAGGCTCCGAAACCGAACAATTCACAGCCAGAGGCGATGCCCTCTGACAATAGCACACCGAAAGAGTACGTGGGCTACTATGTCGCAGACCAGCCAGTGCGCTCTTTGCAGGAATACGCTGTGCCGGCGATTCCATCTTTTAGCGAACTCGCCCAGCGCCGCCGACGTGTGTCGCCCGAAATTACGCAGCCTCTTTTGAACACTGCGCTAAGGCGCGTCACACGGTCACCTTCCCCTCTGGGTGGGCATATGCGGAGTTACTCTACCGGTGTGACCCAGCCTAATGACGCGGCTGCGGAGCAACGAAAGTCACGCATCGACTCTGTTCGGCCACCTGTCGAGAATGGCCCAGTCATTGCAAATGGTTCTTTCCCAAGTCAGCCTCGTCACAGGAGCGATACGGTTGACGTTGTGCCCCAGGAGATGTCACCCCAAGGTCCACTCATGTACACCGCCGACCAGCAGGCAATGCACCAGATCCAGCAAGTCCAAGCTCGCCAACAAATGCTGCTTCAGGAAATGCAGCGGCAGAAGATGGTGGAGGCTATGGGCCCTCCGATTGTCAATGGGTCTATAAATGGGGTTCCGGAGACCAATGGATTGACGCGAGTACCAAGCGAGGGTCAGTCATTTCCTGTATTGGGTGACGGTTGGGTGAATTACGACGCCATGAACGGTCACCACAGCGATCGTGCAGAGGACATATCACCGACCCGTACCGTTCCTCAATGGGGTGCGCCCGCATACACTAACGGCTTGCCTCTTCTGGAGACGTCCAACACGCAGCGAGCACATCCACAGGAGATCAAATCTGCGACAATCCCGTTACTGTCGCCTGTATTTGAGACGCGCACCCCGTCGCCAACCACCAACCGATCGTCCGACCACGGCAAGCTTGTCAACGGTAACAACGCTCACAAGACACAGACGAAGCCATTGACGCGGCAACGCGGTGCCTCGCTCACTAGCGGAACCAATGGCAATAAGGAAAACCGTGGGCAGCAGCAGAAGAGTGGGCATGGAACTGAGAAGACGAACAAGTCAAACACGAGTGCTAGTCCCAACTCTTGGCAACAGCAGACTACCCGTAAGAAGGGGAAGAACAAGAAGCCAAGGGCAATGGATCAGAAGATGGGCGAGCCGCTTCCCGCCAACGCGGCGGATCGAAAGGGCGGCTAGACTTTGTCATCTCTCTTGGATCTAGTCTTTGCTTTGACGCTCCTGTCGCTTGCCTTTGGATATTCGACGACCCGCCTCATTCAGGGTCCCATTCTAGAATCGGCATTACCAAGCCGGCAGAGAAGACGTGCGGAATCGGCGTCAGTACCAGCGGACAAAAATGGCTAAACTGGCGAAACATGGCAAGAAAAGAAGAGCAAAACATTGGGCATACACGGCCCTCATCTCATTGACCTTGTTGTCCTACTTGGCGGCACGACTTCACGCGCTCGCGCAGAGCGCGTTGTGTAAGTTAGCCTTGGCCCCATTTGCTATGGCGTTTGTTTTATTGTTTTGGGCCCCATGCTGCGCGCGACAACAACCATGTATGTTTATCGCATCACCTTGGAGTTTGTGTGTGTTTTTGCTCCCTCTTCCATGTTCTCACATCAAAGGTTGCGCCGGGGTTTCTCAAGGTTTATGGATACATCTCGGTAGCCTTCAGCGTTGTATTTTTTTCCTTTCTCTTCTTCTTCTATGGGTTGCTGGCTGGGCTTATGAAGGGGTTTCTCTCTTTCATCCACATGGGCTGGCTCATTTTTTTTACACATCACACATATATCATCCCCGCCAGCCTCCACAGCCCCTGCAGAGTGTGATGGCTACTATGGTATGGCAACGGGGTGTTTTCGGGTGGCAGCAAACGGAAGGAAACGAGGGGGTAAGGAGGGCCACATGTATAGATAAAATCGGAGGGATGGAAGCGGGAGTTGTGCCTACCTACCCTTTTTTGACCCCGGTGTTTTCTTTTTCTTTGGTTGGTTGGCCGGTTGCGCGCGCTCTTGGCTTGTTGGTGGGGGGCTTTCTTTGTTCAAAAATGATGCTCGAGATGAGGATGAGATAGGTGAAATGAGAAATTGTTAAACATTTGATGGGGGGTGTTTTGTGAGGTTGTGTGTGTGATGGTGATGGGAGGCTCATAGGGTCGAGCGTATTATCATCAGACTGTATGTGATTGAAAGAACCCCACTTTTACACAGCTTCTTTTACAAAAGTGCGCATTGGATTATTGTATATTGGTGGGTTAGGCTACAGCAGTTGGCGTGTCTCCTGAGAACATCATAGGGCTGCGTCGTAGCCTGGGGCTGAGAGTTGTGAGTGTGGCTGGGGGAGGAATGTAGGGTTCATCTCAGGTTTGGCCCCCACCCCTCTCTTCTTCTTCTTTCATCTCGTTTTTTTTTCAGTTTCTTCACTCTTGGATTGTCCTGGTATCGCTATCCTGGTCCCTAGAGATATCTCCTTTATATATCGCATTCTTCTTCTTATACCTGGCTTTGACATTACTGGGCCTATGCTCATGGCTGTAGCCTAGCCCTGCACCAAGTGTTGCGATATCCTTTCACCACCGGTTTTCGAATTTGGCCAGGTTCCACGAACAACCAAAGCTACGATCCGAAAATGCCTCTGTGTGAGGTTTGTGTTCGTTGCCTTGAGGGTATACATGATCCAGCCCTCACTCCTCGCCTTGGATTGCGAACATCAGCACCAGATGAACCAACTACGCATGGACCTTTGGAATTCGAGAAATATGTTTATGGTCATCATTTGACAGAGGAATCCTGGTGGAAGAGCAGGAGTCAAGACTGCACGATCTGTGACAGGATAGGTTTCAGCAAGAACAGAATCTATATCAAGGGAGAGGATTACAGGGGCATCAATACAGACTACTACACCATATTCGAGATGGACATGGACATAGAGGAAGACATGCTACAAATGCGTCTGAGGTGGGAGGAAGGGGTATGGATGGAACCGCTCGCACTGGTCGACAACATAAGTGATAAGGATGAACTATACATGGAGCTCGATAGTACTACCGATGGACCTAGAACAAGAGAACTCGTGCTTCGATGGGTGGAAGAATGTACCAGCCATCACCGTCAATGTCACGTAAATGAGACTGCGAACTTCGTACCAACACGGTTGCTCGAAATCAACAATAACACGGCAAATACTACATTCCGACTTGTACTGCGATCGGAATGCCAAGAAAATATCCGTTATATCGCTCTGTCACACGTCTGGGGACATGGTCCTGTTGAAGAGAAACTACGACTGTTAGGGTCGACATACGATGAACTACGTCAAGGGAAGCCCATCGATTACCTCCCAAAGACCTTTCACGACACTATGACTGTGGCTCAGAGACTAGGGGTAAAATATGTTTGGATCGACAGTCTGTGTATACTTCAAGATTCTAAAGAGGACTGGCAGACCGAGGCCTCTACGATGCAAGACGTGTATCGATATGCATACATCACCATCTCAGCGTTATCTGGAGAGAACGAGCATGCCGGATTGTTCTACGAACGGGATCCAAAACTCTTCACTGCGACGATGGTAAACATGCGGTTGTCGAAGTGTGGTGGCGAAGCGTTGAGGTATTACCACGCTCATGATGAAGGGTGGGATAGAGTGTCGATTTTTAAGCATCGTAACATTCTCATGTATCGGGCATGGTGCTTCCAAGAAATACTTTTATCACCATGCGTATTGCACTTTGGCGCACTCCAGGTGTTCTGGGAGTGTTACGAAAAGACTACCGGCGAATATGATCCGGGAAATCCGCCAGTGAGCTTTCCCTCACATAAAGTTCTCTGGAAGCCAATCATAGACCGATTTAGCCCAGTAAGCTATCCAGAGGCTGCGTGGGATACTATGCTCGAAGAATGGTACGACACCGTCGCGATGTATGGTCGTTGCAAGCTCACGTTTCCTTCAGATAAGTTGTTTGCGATCGCTGGGCTTTCCAACGATATGAAACGAATTATGCTAGATAAGTGGCCAGAATGCGATGCTACATATCTTGCTGGACTATGGCAAGCAGACTTGCGCAATGCATTGTGTTGGTCTGTTTGGGAAGGGAGGCGTTCTCCAAACTACAGGGCTCCATCTTGGTCCTGGGCAGGCCTCGATGAGGGTTCGATATGGACTCAAAGACCAGAAAAGAAGACCGGCCACCACTGGTTCGTTGGTGAGCAGGAATGCATAGCACACGTCACGTACGTAGGCCAATCTGATGCAAGCGAGATCAGCGGAGGTTCCCTCTTACTGACAGGTCCATTTGTGGATCTACACGTCGATGATGAATCAAGGGCATCGATATGGGAATCTGTACAGTGTCATTTCAAGGATGGGAGCGGCACTGAAATCGTTATTCCGGGGCCCACTTCGAAACGGCCATTCCTAGCAGTTGTGAGATCCGACGGTGATAGCTTAGCTAAAGAATTGTCGTGCATCCTGATTAGGGCATTAATCGATCCCTCTGGGTTGCATTACCGCATTCATGGAATAGCTATTTCATCCGTAGACGGTGGGAACGTGTATCGGCGAGCTGGTCTGTTCTGCGTAGATGTGAACACCGAACTCGTAACCAGCGGAGCGTTTGAGGCAATCCAGGAGAAGAAAGTGACTGTAATATAGCATTGATGGTGATTAATTAAGACTGTGGAATCGACTGGATTGGTATTTGTTCCGCAGTATCTACACCCCTGTCTACTTGGGATGAGTCTTAATTTCAATCATGTTAGGTTGGCCTATGATACCCATTTGGGTGCAGGATGTGGTTTTCGTAACCGAGGCTTAGTGATGTGAATGATTATAATTGTGTTCTAAGGTCCTATACACGGCAAGATTGGTGACATCATCTAATGCCTGTTCCACCTCGCTTCCTATATGCACACCCAGCTAGCTAATACCAGACTCCGCAACAATCAAATCAATCAATCTTAAGGTTGTCGATTGGTTTGATTAGCTTGCGGCGACGCTGCTGATTGATTGCGGATTGATTGTTAGGGTTTTTGAGCAGATTGATTGCGATTGATTGGTTGATTGGCTGATTGATGCTAAGAAGTAGTATACAGGGGGTTATGGTGTTGTACTCCAGCCTTCTATATCGTACTGTTGTACAATCTCCTCATCTTTGACGTCACTCCACTTATCTTCATCATCACCGTTGTTGTACAAGCCGTCAAAGCCAGCTCGTCTCCACGAACGTACAAGCTGAAGGGCAGCAAGTAACTCGCTGCCAAGAGCTCGCCGGCGCGGCTCAAGTAAATCGCCAAGCTCGCTAAAGAGCCTCTCGCAGTCGCAACTAGATGCTGGTATCGTGAGTATATCAATCGCAAACTGGCTTAAACACGGGTATTTTGAGCGTAATTGAATCCAGTACTTGACTGGGTGGCCATCGCTAAGATACTGTTCGCTTGTCCACTCTGGCTCTTGAGTTCTCCAGCGCTCGTACTCATCGTCGTGGGCAGCCTCTACCTGAGCCTTGTTGCGCCGTACGAGGGCGCCAATCACATCATCTATTCCTCTATGCCTTGGTTTTGCAGTTGTTTGAGATAGAGGACGTGTACGTTGAGGCTTATACGACTGCCAGAGCTGCAGGAAGCCAGCGTTGGCTGATGTTAGCCATTCTGGCTTATCCACCCAGCTGTTCTCGCAGTAGTATTTGTAGTATGGATGGAGGCAGGTAGCAGCGTAGTATGCTGGCGATCGATCGAGCTTGTTGTAGTAATCGTTGGCCTTACTCCAGGCGGCGCGGAGGTTAACAAAGAGGTGATCTTCAGGCGCATCAGGTGGGTTGAAGTCAACTTGCTCGTACGAGCGCGTACGGGCTTCGAGCGCGCCAAGTACGTATTCAAATACAGGAATAGTCTCATATATAGCGCCGTATTTGCCTGCCTTTCCGCGACCCTCAAGCTTCTCCGTAGCAAGCTTAAGCGGCTCTAGGCAGTCCTGATACTCTGTTATCACCGCCCAATCAGCAGCTGTAAGTCCTGTTGATCTCATCCAACTAGGTGCTTCAGGGAGTTTATTGCCACGTTGACAAGCGCGGCGATCTTCAAGGGAGAGTGCGTTAATGTAGTGCTCAGCGTAAGAGTTGTATGCTGCCTGGAGTTGAGTTGCGCGTTTGAAGGCAGCGTAGTAAGAGTTCCAGCGTGTAACAACAGGCTTCACAGGCTCAAGTACGTGGAGGCGCTCTCTAGCTGGCAACTCGGCGTTGGCGGCGGTTTGGAAGCTTCGGAAAATTTCGTGTTGTTGAGGCGTTTTTATATGGTTGATAACGTCGATAAGTACACCTAAGGGCCCTTCTTGACGCCACTCCTGCATGTACACCTCCTCTGTTTGGAGCTGCTCGTCGTTGTTGTTGTTGTACGCCTCTTGATTGCTGCCAAAGATAATTGCCTGGCCAATAAGGTTAAGCGTGTGAGGGCCGCAGCGGAGGCGTCGGTGAGCAGCGTTGAAGTCGTACGCGTGGGCGAGCGAGGAGACTGCAGTATCGTTGTTTGCAGCATTGTCGAGGACGAAGTAGCCGAGTTTATCACTCCCAATACTGTATTCTTGGAGCGTCTTTTTAATTGTATCAGCGATAGCATCACCAGTATGAGAGCCTGCGAGATGTGGGAGGGCGATGGGGAGATCTTGTATCACTCCAGAGGCGTTAGCAAAGTGTGCAACGACTCCAAAGAATCCACGCTTGCCACCCTTTGTCGTCCAACCATCAAAGCTTATGTGGATCTTGCTTGCAGCTTCTGACAGAGCGCAGACAATCTGTGGCTGCATATATTGGAAGAGGCGCATTGCGTAGGTAGCTACACTGCGAGGACTTACCCACAAAGCTGCCTCTGCCTCTGGGTTTGCAAGGCTAATCATCTCGCGAAAGGACGGCCTTGCAAGTAGCTCCATTGGCAAGTTGTTATCAAGAAGGCAGAACACTGCAACTTCACGAAACTGCTGGATGTTGAAGTTGCCCATCGCGTTGGCAGCCTCTTGAGAGACTGCAACACCAGTCTCCAGCGTCTGTCGTAGAGAGAGTTGCTGCCCTGTTCTTCGAGGCTTCAGGCCGTCTTTTGTAAAGCCATGGCCTCGTTTCTGAAGGCCAAGATGAGCTGCAGCTGAGGAGGTGGCCTTTGATACGTCAAAAACTCCACTGCCGCCAGTGTCAATGACCTTGTGGATGTGGCAGTATTTGCATACAAACCACACTCGATTCTGATCGTAGAGCTCAACAACGCGATATCCATGTTGAAAGATCCAACTCTTGACGCGCCGCCCAGTTGTAAGAGGCTTCATGAACCGAGGGAGGCGATCCCAGTTAATGCCGTCAAAGTTATCGCCATTATCAGGCTCTGTATCAACACTAGCCTCTGTTGTTGCTGCTGTACCAGCCTGGCTGCCCTCAGCCGCACCCTCCTCCTCTGTTTGCGACTCGAAAAATTGCGACTCAAACGTTGTGGCCTGGCTTACGGCGGCGCCAAGGGTTTCCTGAGGCGACAGCGATCGCTGAGATAGGACAGAGGGCCTTGATAGGCGCGCCCGTTTGGCGGCGGCGGCGGCGGCAGCAGTATTGGTGGGAACTCGAGAGCGTTTGGCCATCGTGGGCGATACTAAACACTAAAGAAAAATGTCTGTATAGGTAGCTAGGCAACTAGTGTTGTGTGTAAGGGATTATTAGGGAACTGAGTGAGCGAAATCGTTGTTGTATTAAGAACAGCGAAGGACTAGCTATATAGGTGCGGGGTGAAGCCTAGAAGAGGCTAGCCCCTAAGCAGAAGGAGCTAGTCCTATAAGAGGAGAGCTAGCTGGTGAGAAGTGAATGCATAGAGACTGGCTTGCCCGGCCGACAGGGATCACAAGCTAAGCGAGATAGGGGTCCAAGATAACTATCTTCAACACCAAAAACCTTCTCTTAATACGACACTACTCGCCTTACAACTCGTTAATAATAAATCAATCTAACTAATCAAATCAATCAATCTGACCTTCGCAAGTTGATTTGATTAGCTATTTTGAAAAGCTTAGATTGAGTTGATTGAGTTGGTAAAAACTCCAAATGACCAATCAAATCAATCAATCTGACCAATCTGGATTGATTGTTGCGGAGTCTGGCTAATACCCACCCAATTGCAAAGGCAATAACCCGGATCCAATTAACAGACCTCCAACGCTCGAAAAAACCAAACCAACACAGACAGCTGCAAGCTATCACAAACTCAATTCCTAAAACCAACAAAAGAGATACAGAACAGACTATCCCATACCGGTTTAGACCATGGGATACTCCTAAGTACAAAGTAACAATCTCGAAAAAGTCAAAACAGGAGGAAACGATTGCACACCAAGCCTACATTAAAACAAGGCTACACAATTGCACTACAATATACTCAGACGCCTCCCAAATAAAAGAAGCAAATGGAATAGGAGTTGGGATAACAGTCTACAACTCAACCACGCAAGAGATCTACTTAGAAACAGTCAATATTGGACAATATCAACTAGTCTACAACGGCGAACTAGAAGGGATTACACGAGCATTTGAATACGCAGCAAAGAACGCTACAACCGACCAGGAATTCGAGGTCTACGCAGATCAGAGTTGCTATCAGTCAGTTCAGTCAGTCCGGAGCTCTCTGGACTGACTGAACTGACGTCCTGAGGTCACTGAACTGGACTGGACTGACTGCCAAGACTTTTCAATTAAACTAAAACTGACTGACTGAACTGACGTCGCCGCGGCCTGCGGACTGACTGGACTGACTGAACTGAGTTACCTGACGTCGAACTGAGATAAATGCTCCTGTACTTTTGAGATTTCTTCCTCTGATAGTGTGCGCGCTAGCCCAGAAGCTGAGGTAGTTGTTGGCTGTATACCAAGCCTCTTCCAGCTCTTCAAGCTCTGCAAAGCTGAAATAAGCTCTGGCTTCATATGGAGTCTCCGGGTGCCTAACATGTCGCCAAGCTCGCTGAAAGTCCGCTCACAGTCTGCCGCTGCTGCTGGTATTGTTAGGACGTCAATAGCGAACTTTGAGAGTATAGGGAACTGCCCAGCAACTGACTCCCAGTATAGAAGCGGATTAAGAGACAGCCAATCCTCCTCAGCTAACGCTGGTTGCCGCTTCCATATCTCATACTCATCCTCAGCAAGGCTTGCCTCTAACTGCCGTGTGCTTTGCTCAATTGACGACTGTAGAAAAGCTGATCGCGACGTTGAAATCCCTAGCCGGGGCTTCTTACGCGGCGGCGTTACAGTGTGAGCTGAAGTGGCTGCAGAGTCCTTCCGCCACAGTCCGCAACAATCAATTAAGTGGGTCCTAGAAGGTTCAGATTGGATTGATTGATTACCGCTTTAAGCCTAGTAGTTACCTATAGGAGTTTAAGCCCTACCTAGATAGGTAAGTGGGTCTAGGAGAGTGACCGGATTGAATTGATTGTTGCGGAGTCTACCTTCCGCCCCTGCCACATACGCAGGAATGCCCGGTGGTTATTGTCAAGCCAGCCGTCGCGATAGTGGACACCGTCACGGGCAGTGACATGGGTGTCAGGCACCTTCCAGAGCGCTGAGAGCAGACTCCGCAACAATCAATCGATTGACATGATTGATTCCTATATAGGTTAAAGAATTACTTCATTAGGCAGCC